GCACCGCTACTGGAAGAGGCTGACTGTTCCCGCCAGCTTTAAAGTTGCCTGTTTTGCTAAAATGCTACATTGTGTGTTTACCAAGAAAGATGAGGGAAAGTTTCTTTTCCTGTACAGGTGGGATCTGGGTCAGAAATGACCACCGTCACAGAGGCGTGAGGTGATGTCCTGCTTTCCTCAGTAAAATGAACAGCTACCTCAGGGGGTTTTCCAGGACATGCAGAGCTACACATATTCAGGGATGGATAGTTAGGAATAATGGTCTCTTTCAGAGACCAAAAGGGGGAAAATGTAAAGACGCTCTTATCTGCTGTGCTGTATTGCTTGATGCATCACAACAGTATCTTGTCCTTTATCTGTATCTGCTTGGCTTTTGGATCCGCTTGCCTTTTGGTATCAACAAGTACAGAGTGAACTAAGTCAGAGAATGTATTTAAGTTTTTTGTGTACGGGACATGAACTAACAAGGAGCTGCTGGTGTGTGTCCCACCTGATGACAAGATCACTAGTAAACTGGAACGGCAGAAGAAAATAATAAAACAACTCCATAAAAGGACTTCCAGGAAATTAAGACATCAGTTTGAACCAGTTTAGACAAAGAACTGTAAGAATGTGTGACACGTCTCTGGGTGGAACTTTTGTGTTTAAATACAGAGGAACCTGAAAGCTCCGGTCAGACACGTCTAGGGTTTTTGTTGTATCTCTGTTGCTTTGTGGTAAGAGTGTCTCCTTTCAGCTGAAAGCTTTAATAAATGTTGGTAATACTTTTTAACTTGAATCTCTCTGACTGATTATTGTGTCTTTTCTCCATGTATCTCCGAACCAATGTGAGGAAAAGGTGAATAGGCTGAAAAGTATGAGTTGTTGTGTTAATTTTCCTCAACAGGAGCAATATTATAGGCAGAAACATGGGTGTGCTATGGGGTCTCCAGTTTCTCCTATTGTTGCCAACCTGTACATGGAGAAGGTAGAAAAGAGAGCCTTGGCATCCTTTTCAGGCACACCACCAAGTCATGGTTCAGGTATGTTGATGACACCTGGGTTAAAATTAAATCCCAGGAAGTCCAACATTTTACTGACCACATCAACTTTGTGGATAAATACATCAAGTTCACACGAGAAGATGTAAAAAAATGGCAGGTTGGCTTTCTTGGACTGTGAGGTCTCAGTCTCTGATAGAGGACATTTGCAAACTGAGGTGTACTGCAAACCCACCCACACAGACCAGTATTTGCAGTTTGACTCCCATCACCCTTTGGAGCACAAGTTGGGAGTCATAAGGACTCTGTATCACAGAGCAGACAGCATCCCCACTAACTCAGGAGCCAGGCAGAAGGAGAAATCCCACACAAGACAGGCTCTAGAGCAATGTGGATATCCTAACTGGGCCTTCCTGAAAGCAGAGAAGAAACCTAAACAGGACTCCAGTCAGCCATCAGGTGAAAAGGAGGAACCCAGACCAGTGGTCATTCCGTATGTTGAGGGAGTATTGGGGAAACTGAGACGTTTATTTTCTACACACAATGTCCCAGAACCTTTTAAACCCCAAAATAAATTATGGCAAAGACTGGCTAATCCCAAAAATCCAGTCCCCCGGCACAAACAGAGTAATATTGTGTATGCTGTTCAGTGTCAGGAGGGCTGTGATCAGTCTTACATCGGGGAAACTAAACAGCCACTGGCCAAAAGGATGGCCCAGCACAGAAGAGCAACAACATCAGGCCAGGACTCTGCGGTCTACACTCATCTCCAGGCCAGCGGTCACTCTTTCAGGGATGAAGATGTTCACATCCTGGATAGAGAGTAACGATGGTTTGGGAAAGGAGTAAAGGAGGCATTCTTTGTAAAAAGAAATCGTCCATCCTTAAACGGGTGGAGGCCTCCGGGTTAAACTGTCCCCCTCTTACAATGCTGTGATTGCTAGTATCACTCAGCCTCCTGTGAATAGTAAACAGCCATCAGTGTGCTAATGATCCATTGTTAGGCTGATGGTTCTTCTTGACCATGTGAGCAGCTGGTTTTGGTTGTCAGCAGCAAAACTGGTTGATCCACTCTGAGAAGGTGCTATTTATAAGACTGAGCTGAATACAGCACCTCAGACTGAGGAAGTCTTTTGGATGGAAGACAAAATGTTTCTACATTTTTTTTTTTTTGTTTGTTTTGCTTTGTTTTGTTTTTTGAATGTCCAGAGGACCAGATTTAACTTTTTTAGATTTTTCTACCTGGTTTATTGAGCATGCCTCGGGATACTTACAGTTTAGTAAGAATTCTTTGATTAAAAAAAATATTTTTGTGAAAATGTATATTTGGAGAGGGCAGCACAGTGGTGCTACTGGTACAGCTGCTGCCTCTCAGCGAGCAGGCCCCTGGTTCAAATCCCGGTCCGTGGGCCTTTCTGGGTGGAGTTTGCATGTTCTCTTCGTGCATATGTGGGATTACTCCAGGTACTCCGGTTTTCACCCACAGACCAAAAACATGCATGTTAGGCTGATTGGTAACTCTAAATTGTCCCTAGGTGTGAGTGAGAGAGTGAATGGTTGTTTGTCTCGCTTGTCTCTATGTGACTCTGTGAGGGACTTGCAACCTGTCCAGGGTGTACCCCCACCCCTCACACAGTGATTGCTGGACATTCAATTCAATTCAATGCAAAAAAACTTTATTAATCCCAGAGGGAAATTATATGTTGTGGTAACTCATCATACTGGTTTCAATAATGAGTTGTTATAGATGCTGATGGCTGTGGGCAGGAAGGATCTCTTGTAGCGGTCTGTCGTACAACGGATTTGAAGAAGCCTCTGACTGAAGACACTTTGTTGTTGTATGACAGTCTGATGAAGAGGATGCTGAGGGTTGTCTATAATGTTCTTCATTTTATGAAGAATCTTTCTTTGAACAATCATCTCCAAAGGTTCTAGAGGAGTCCCCAGAACTGAGCCAGCCTTCTTTATGAGCTTGTTGATCTTTTTTAAGTCACTTGCTCTGGTGCTGCTGCCCCAGCAGATGATGGCAGAAGAGATAGCGCTCTCTACAACAGACTTGTAGAAGATATGCAGCATCTTGCTGCAAACGTTGAAGGACTTCAGCTTCCTCAAGAAGTACAGTCTGCTCTGTCCCTTCTTGTAGACGGCTTCACTGTTGCATTTCCAGTCCAGTCTGATGGCCAGGTGAAGTCCAAGGTATTTATACTTCTCCACCACCTCCACTTCTCCCATGATGGAAATAGGGTTGGACCTGTTCCTGATTCTCCTGAAATCTACAATCATCTCCTTTGTTTTGTTCATATTCAAGATGAGATGATTGTTTCCACACCATGCCACAAAGCGGTCCACCAGTTCCCTGTACTCAGCTTCTTGTCCATCTCTGATACACCCGACTACTGCAGAGTCATCAGAATATTTCTGCAGATGACAGGAGTCTGTTTTATACTGGAAATCTGAAGTGTACAGAGTGAAAAGGAATGGTGAGAGTACAGTCCCCTGTGGTGCTCCTCAGCTACTGACCACCTGGTCAAACACACAACCCTTCAGTCTCACAAACTGTGGTCTGTCCGTCAGGTAGTCTTTGATCCAGGCGATTGTTGAGGCCTCCACCTGAGTCTTCTGAAGTTTCTGACAAAGCAAATCAGGCTGGATTGTGTTAAATGCACTGAAGAAATCAAAGAACATGACTCTCACAGTGCTGTCTGCCTTTTCTAGATGACAGTGAGTTTGCTGAAGCAGGTGTATGATGGCATCTTCAACTCCAAGTCCACGCTGATAAGCAAACTGCAGTGGGTCCTGATATGTGCTTGTTTGTCTAGTCAGGTGGGTCAGCAGAAGTCTCTCTAGGACCTTCATGATGTGGGATGTCAGGGTAACAGGTCTATAGTCATTGAGGACTGATGGGTGTGATTTATTTGGCACTGGAACAAGACAGGATGTTTTCCACAACACTGGAACCTTCTCCTGAGTCAGGCTAAGGTTGAAGAGGTGCTGCAGAACCCCACAGAGCTGCTCTGTACAGACCTTCAGGACTCTGGGACTGACACCTTCTGGACCTGCAGCCTTATTCCGGTTCAGTCTCTCCAGCTGCTTCCTCACCTGACTTCTGGAGACGCAGAGGGGGGAGGCAATGGAAGTATCAGTATCTTCTGATTTGGTTGAAGACCAATGTGTAGAAGAAGGGTCCATGACTGAGGTGGTAGATACAATATTTGAGGTGTGACACGACAGCCTTGGGTCAATGGAGGGTGGTATGTATGTTTGGCTGTGGGCAAGAGAGGAGGATGCTGAGCTTGTTCCTAAACTGAACCTATTGAAGAATGTGTTCAGTTCATTGGCTCTGTCCAGGCTTCCATCCTTCTGATCCTCCTTCTGCTTGAAGCCTGAGATCTTTTTCATCCCTGACCACACCTCTTTGATATTGTTCTGTTGGAGCTTGCTCTCCAGCTTCTTCTTGTACACCTCCTTGCTGTTTCTTATCTTGACTTTTAGTTGCGTCTGTGTGCTCCTCAATAATCCCCTGTCTCCCTCCCTGAAGGCTCTTTTTTCTGGTTTAGCAGTTCCTTCAGGTCAGTGGTGATCCAGGGTTTGTTATTGGGGAAGCATCGCACTGTTCTGGTGGGGATGGTGTTGTTTACACAGAAGTTTATATAGTCGGTCACACACTCAGTCACGGCATTGATGTCCTCTCCATGTGGCTGGCACAGTGCATCCCAGTCTGTAGCCTCAAAACAACCCCGCAGGGCTTCTTCAGCTTCCGTTGACCATTTTCTCACTGTTCTCTTTATTGCAGGTTGCATGGGCACCGGCGACCCCCGTGACCCAAAATGGAAGAAGCGGGTAAAAGATAATGGATGGATGGATGTATATTTGGAACAATGTACACTTTATAAACTAATGGCTGTGCACTGGCAGTGTGGCATGGCATGTGTCCTTTGAGTGTGTGTGTGTGTGTGTGTGTGTGTGTGTGTGTGCGTGTGCGTGCGTGCGTGCGTGCGTGCGTGCGTGTGTGTGACTCACAGACACAGGAGCAGTAGAGTTTTGGCTGTTAACAGTAGGAGGTCTGGGCAGTTGCTGGTCTTGCCCATGTTTTCTCTGCAGAGTGGGGATGGGAGGTGAAGGCTCCCTATAGACCTAAAGTTACAAAACCAACACTGTTCCTTTATCCTTATCTACTCATGATTTGGTTTCAAACCAAAGATAAACTATCAGGAGTGAAAGGTGGTTAGAAAAAAAACATCTAGCCATCATATACTGTATAAAAACACATGTAACAGGAATTATTGTGATTTTTCATTTGAATTAACTTGCATCTGAAATCCACTGACTAAATGTTTGAAATTTTCCTCAGAAAAATGCTTGTCTTACTTAAGTGTAGCAACATCACTGCATCTGGCTAATCTTGAACCCTGAGTTTGGAAACAGCAAAGGATGTCATCAGTGATATGACATAGCTCTAACTTCTTAATGTGAGTCAACAACTCCACTGATGAGTAGTTGATCAGAAGAGGACCTGGGACTTTGAGCTTTTAATTGCTCACACATTTGGAAGTTGGTTGGTTGAATAATAACAATTTTGAATACTGAAAATAATGAGAATAATTTTGAGAATGCTTTTTGTGCAACAAAAAGAAACTGATCTCTCTCAGATGTTATAGAGACAATACAGAAGCTGAACAGACCTCGTCTACTCGTGCCTGTCTTTCTCGCTCATATTGTCTCCTCAGAGCTGCGGTCTCCTTCTCCTCAGCTTCCTTCTTTTTCCTCTTTGCTTCATTCTTCTTTTGCTCAGCCAGTTGAATCAGCTCCTCATTCTTTGCTTTTTGCTGTAGGATGCATAAGCTACAGGTCAGAAAGGTACATAAGGGCACAATGAAGACTTATTGAGAACTATCAAAGGACCTGACTTTCTATTATTTTCTCACCTCCAACTCCTTCCGTTTCTTCCTCTCTTGCTCCTCCTCATACTCTTTCTTGATGCGAGCCCTCTGTTCTGCCAGCCTCTTTTCCTCCCTTTCCTCCTCTAGTCTGTGTTGTTCCCTCTCATCTGCTTTTTTATGCATTTTCTCCTCAATCTGTAAAACATATGCTGGTCACTCAGAGAAGACAAAATTTTCAACATGAAAGCAAATGAAACTGCAGTGGTTATGTAATTCTGCATTCATGGTCAGAAAACAAGAAAAAAAGAATGTGTGGAGATCAGTTATACTGTATAATTTCACTGGAGAATATCTTGTTCAAAAGAGCACCAGCTGAATATGAATCAGATCATCAGTAGGAAGTTGAGGAGCGTTAAGTGTAGAACCATTAGACTGAGGAACAGCTTCTACCCTGAGGCCATTAGACTCATGAATCTCTAACCAGGATAATCACTGTGAAAAATCACATCATGTTGCTGGTTTCATGCTGCTGTGTTCATTCATACTCATCTGCTCACACAGACTCATGTTCATGCTGCTGTTCGGCGTATTGCTTTTTTTAATACTACTAGTGCTTAGCGTAGTTTTGATTAGCATTTTTCTTAGTTCATATCCATCCATTATCTTTACCCGTTTATTCCATTTTGGGTCATGTCCAGCAATCACTGTGCGAGGGGCGGGGATACCCTGGATGGGTCGCAAGTCCATCACAGGGCCACATAGAGACAAACGAGACAAACAACCATTCACTCTCTCACTCACACCTAAGGACAATTTAGAGTTACCAATCAGCCTAACATGCATGTTTTTGGTCTGTGGGAGGAAACCGGAGTACCCGGAGAAAACCCACGCATGCACGGAGAGAACATGCAAACTCCACCCAGAAAGGCCCCTGGACCGGGGTTTGAACCAGGGACCTGTTCGCTGAGAGGCAGCAGCTCTACCAGTTGCGCCACCGTGCTGCCCCTTAGTTCATATCTTGGATCTTATTACTGTTTTTCTTTTACATTTTATTGTGGGATGTAAGTGGGACCCTGTGTACATAATCTTGTTCCACCACATGTACCACATGAGGTGTGTATGACAAACAAATATCTCTCTGACTCTGATAATGCTGCAATTGTCACTGAATGAAGTGAACTGGGGTGTAATCTGCTGCTGCATTTCTGAGGCATTTCCAACTAGAGCTGTCACTTATAACCCAAACCTGGAACCCGGCCCGGACCAACCCGGTTTAGAGCCAGGCTGGGCCAAATTAATGTGATTAATGTCCGGGCGGGGCTGGTCTCGGCTTTGATGCGGTTTTATGAATCATACAGCGCAAATAAAACCTAATAAAAAATGCACAATATAAAATTGTATAAATCTACTTAGAGGAGGAGGAAGTAAGTTTACTGAGGAGGAATGCAACAAAATAGAATGCAGAAGTTAATCAGAAAAGATAGTAGCGCTGGGGGCGCATTGCGCAGCCATTACACCTGGCCTCGCCCACCCTGCTCTGCTCTGCTCCACAGAAGGTGTTTGTGCGTCACAGACATCCTGAAGTACTGGAGTGCAAAATCATTATCCACGACTGAGCTGCACTTTTCCTGTGGGCTGACTAAAGTTAAGTTACAAACTTAAAATGATGACACCTGCTGTCAGGTACACACTCAGGTCCACACCCCGCTCTCAGCTGGCCGCACAATAGAGCAGCGAACTGCTCTCCGCTGCGGTGGAAGAATTTTGAAGCCCCAAGAAGCGACAACGTCAAAAGCTGAAGCGAGGAGCGCGTTCACATCACCCCCATCCAAACAGAGAAGAACAAGTGCTTTTGCAGAGTGGGAGAACACAGTGGAAGAGCCAGAGTAATGATCAGGTTACACTGTACCTCACTCAAAAGCATGCTATGGCTGATGAGAGAGATTTGACGGGATTTTGTAAACTAAACTCAAATGTGTACCCAAAACTGGCCAAGTTGGTGAGATCTGTGCTCTGCATCCCAGCGAGGAGCAGCGAGCAACAGCGAGCAGCAGCGAGGAGCAGCGAGCAGCAGTGTAGTATGTCATATAGGATATATATTCATACTTTTTCACGAGTTCCTCATCTTTCTGACTGTGTAAATGTCGTGCATTGAATTTTAACAGAAATGTAACGAGAGACGTTATTTATCTTTGACCCACCAAAATGAATGCGGTCATTT